AGTATATCTGATAGCTGAATCCTAGACAAAACAAAGTTTTGCACAAAGCTAGACTATCCTCATAATCATAATCATAATCTTTATTGTGCTATAAGATAGTTCTTTTACACTCGTCAGTTCAATTTACAGGTTCACATTTACTTACTAAGAAATATCAATATTACGAAATATTAAGAAATGTGTCAGTTTACGTTTCATGGTAAGAAACGGAAGACTTTTGACATTCAATGGCAACTTATTAAATAGCTTTTGACACATGTATGTTGGACCCCGCTGCGTCATATTCAATCTACACATATCAACATACACATTACAACGATTACGAGTTGCGTATTTGTGAACATCAGCATGATTTAAAAGCTCGTCGAAATTGTTCAGAGCATACAATATACAATTTAGTATGTAAATAGATGGCAGGGTTAGAACGCCTAAACGCACGAAGATGTGTCGACAGTCCTCACTGTATCCCAGGCCTCCTACAATTCTTAGAGCCCTACGCTGTAAGTTAAAAACCCGTTTGCTAGCGGGAGTGTTTCCCCACGCTAAAATGGCATAAGAAATATGGCTTACATCAAAGTGGGTTAAATAAAAATGGGTTACATCAAAGATATTGTGAATAGTCATAAATAAAAAATGGAGTCGAAATTGTTGATCCTAGGTCTTTGAGAGCTCTTACATTTGCAGTTCCAAGGTCGCATATTGTAGCCATAATGGGGATTTTATGTTTAAACATATTAAATATTACTTCTTTCAATCAAACTTTTAGTCTGCTCGAATCAACGGCCCCTTGACTGAAATAAAAGGTCAGTGGTTGTTTCCATGGTTTAATTATCCCCTGAGCCATAAATACAATAACATAATTGGCTACATTTTCACTTCTTTCGCTGCCATAATCTTCAACTCCTTCTAGAGAATCCGTTTTGCTATTGTATTGCAAATGTTCTTTAAGAGCCATTTCATCAAAAACCAATGAGCAAAGCCTTTCATTTTCTGGTAATTTTGCCAAGCAAGCACCCAAATGTGCAAAAATGTGGTCGTTAATTCCAACGTTGAATGGAATTTTATCTAACAATGACATAAGTGTACGTTGTGATGGGAGTGCAAACAAGCGTTATAGAAATTTGTAACACTTAGGGCTCTTCTTATATATAGCCAAACACATAATCTTATCGTCAAGTGTCCATCTACGTCCATGACCAGAGCGTTTACCGCATTTTATTTGCGAAATAAATAATTAGGCAGCAGTATTAGACATACCTGTATCAAAAATGTTATGATTATTTAAACATAGTCTAATTGAAAGATGCAAAACATTTTGAGTGTATTTTGAACAAAAATGTTCTCTAAATAAAAACCAAAGAGCGAGATACTAAAGTTTGAGGATTACAGATAGATTAATTCACTTAATTCCATTAAATAACAATGCAAATTAAAGATGAATCAAATTTAATTGTTTAATTTATTTGCAAAAATTGGATTTAATCAGGAATTTTATTAAACATGATAAGTTATAAAAGACAACTGATAAAAAATAACAAACTATTTATTTAAGTAAACAGCAATGTCTGAAAGCTGAAGCGTCCTGACCTGCATTCTGAAGGATATTTTCTTATCTGTACAAACAATTACAGTGGAAAAGTTGCTTGCATTTTGTTTAAATATGTTGTGTTTAAAATTTGACAACACATTTACTTAACTCAGCTTGTATTATGTTAGATTCATGTAACATGTATTAGTCTTAGTCATAATTTTAAGTTCTTAGTTCGTCATTTATCTTATTGTTATTATTATTATTATTAATCACGATTACATTACTTTAACTATGATCACAACTAAGACTTAAACATGTTGCCTCAATTCGTGATTAAATAATTGGAAAGTAAATACTATTACCTTTAAAAACCTGAGTAAAAGATTCTGGTGTGCTTAACATATCTCTCAGTAATGTAGTTTTATTTTCATAATTCTTTTTAAGTCTCCGGATCTGTTTTTCTTTGTTCTTTAAAATTCGTCGCAGTGATTTTTCTTTGATTGTTGCACTAAACTGGCTCTTCTTAAATACTGACTCTGTTGTTGGATTTGTAGCGGAGGAAGGTATGCAGCATCTTTTGTTATATTTAACTCCTATAAATATATAAAGTGTTATTTTATACACAAATCCGGCGGTTTTGTTGATAATTTTATAGTGTTCATGATTTTATTTACTTATATGTATATCTGTAGCATAGAGGTAAACTGTCGTATGTCCAATTTATGAAAAGCTGAGAAAATCAATTTTAAAGATTTTTTGCATGAATGAATGAAGTTTACAAGTTTACAAAAGCTTATACAAAACAGACCTTTTGAACTTAATCTAAATATTATCTGGGCTACACAATCATGTACATTAAACTTTTATGCACTAGTCATAAAATATGATTTAGTGGACATAAGGTTATTTACCTCGATTAAAAAACAGACCCTCAAAAAACTTATTACTCATTTTGTGTTGCAAAGTATTATATTAAACTTAAAAAAAACTTTAGAAAGTACAACAGCAAGAAAAAATTCATTAAAAAAATCGACAACGTGAAGTTCATCCTTCATCATCATCGTTAGTTGAAGCTGTAGGTATATTTTGATAATAAGAATGAAAGGTGGTCGGGACCCACTTGAGTAAGGTGACCAAATGTTCCTTTTTCTTTTTGCTTACACCTTTTGGAGTGTCTCGTATTGTAGGTAAGCAAGCAGGTAATGTTAAACGCTGTCTAACGGAGCTGGAAAAATTCACTATCTTGAAAGTTTCTTCTTCCAATTTTGTTTTGTAGAAAATATTTGATGGTGTCTCAGCACGTGCTTCCATCCAAACAACGGTAGATATCAGAAAGTTTTCCTTATTGGTATTTATTTTTTTATTTTTAAAGGGAGCCCCTGGAAAGCTATATAATGCAGCAAAATTTTTAAAATCCTCTACTTCAATACTAAAGACTGTCGCACCAGAACTTCGAATCAGCTGCTCCCAATCCCAAGGAGTCACAATTTGCGTTGGTGGTTGTTTTTTGACGGTTCTTTCAATTAATGCATGCGTATGGTCGGCTTCCATGTGGGTATGTCCACGCAATAAAAATTTATGAGTAACAGTTCTTAGGGAAGGGCATACATTTAAAAGCCAAAAGTAACTGATTAACACCATTATGTTTCTGTTTTGGCTTGGGCAGTTATCGGACCATATTATCAAATGTTCTAACTCACTTCCAGAAAGAACACTAGCAGCCCATTTCAATAACGCCGAGGCTATTTCGTTTCCGCCTCTTCCAGCTTTTGACTCGTCCCAAGTTACACAGTATGATTTTTTTTCTGTAGCATCATATATTGTCAGATTGAGTGTCCACAATTTTAACAAGTAGAAACTTTGACAATTTGACAGATACGGTGTAGGTAAGCATTTTTGCAAGTCCAACATTATTACTTTTGTTTTGTTGGTGCTTCTGCTCATGAGTTTGTCATTCCTTTTTTCGAGGTAGCGTCTCTCGGCTTCGTCAAGATGATCACGGTACGCCTGCTGAACATCTTCCTTGTTGTTTTGGTCCAGAGAATCGTCCTTTAGTTTTGAAATGAAACTATCACCAGCATCACATGTGTCATTAGAGGGTTTCTTAAAACCTATATTAAACTCTCTATCAAAAACGCGTTTGTAAGCCCAATGCTTGACTACTTCATTTTTTGGAGTACCATCTTCAAGACACTTTCGCTTGTAGAGTTTGTTGGGGATGGTTTACCCAACGTAGATTTTGGGATGCTGACGAGGATTTTTTAAAAGTATGGACAGAACTAACGCTACACAGTTTATTGACGTGCTTACTTCTTATTACATTAACAACTTGCTTACAACTAACTTAAAATTACCTAAATGCGTAATTGCGAAATAGAGACAAAGAATAAAAGAAAGAAAGGAAAGATAGGATTGTCGACCAATATTGCTAACTAAGGAAAAGAATCATGTTACACAATTTTGGTTAATTAATAGAAAAGAAAATGACTGACTTTAAAATAAAGAGAAGAGAATAACATTAAGAGAAGAGAATAACATTAAGAGAAGAGAATAACATTAATAGAAGAGAATAACATTAACTAAAAATTATACACTCGCAATACGTCCCCCCTTAATTAGGAAATTTGTAGGAAGGGTTGCTGCAAATTTCTATTGTATATACGGATTCGGCAGAATTTTGAGTAGGCTGTACTACGTCTACAGATTTTCTTTTTTTAATTTTCGCAATACTATTATTACAATGGTAGCAATTATAAAAGTTATCAATAATACATAAATGGATACATAATGATGTACATCGTGAACATTTGGAACTAATTCTTTTTGCTTATCTTTTAAATGACTTAAACTAACA